GGCTCAGCACAGCCCCTGCGGTGCAAGTGGTGGCTCGTGCCAGGGAACGGGATGCTCCCGGGCGGCCACACCACTGCGTGGGCCTTGGCACTGCCTGGGCTTTCCCTCGCAGCTCAGCCGTCCCTTTCTCTCCCTAAGGGTGAGACACCACCGCAACGACATCCAGACCATAACATTGGCAAAAAGCAGAGGTGCGTACAAGGAGGACAACCAGAACAACAACCTCTAAGAGCAGCACAGCCTCTGCTGGAGCTTTCCTTGTGGGGCCAGTGCATCTGGAGGAGCATCTCCGTTCCCCCCAAGCATGCCTGAATCCAAGGCAGGGGATCGCCCGTCCGAGCAACCGACCAGAACGTCCTGTCTGCCTGTTCCCCCCTGCAGTAGCATGTAGCGGTCATCCCAGCACTGAGCAGCTCAGTCGTAGTTCACGCCTAAAAATAAGCTTCAGTTAGGTGTCTTCCACTTTCTGGTCCCTCCTACAGTGGTGGTGGTGGGGTGTTCTACCGCCAGCTGCTCCCTAAATGTGTTAGGTGGCCGGGTCTCCCCTCCGTGCTGGCCGTGTCTCTTGGGGGATGCAGCGGAGAATATCTGTGCTGCAGAAAGGCCAAGAAGGGCAGTCCAGCATGGTCAGGATGGGTCTGTACAGGGTCCCATCTAGGTCCTCTCCCACCACCTCTTGGGGATGGATTCTCTGGGCAGTCTGGTTTGTGGTGGGCAATGCTGGGGGAGCCCCCGCTCCGCTCCCTCTGTGCTAACAGAGCTCCGTGCTTCCACCCTGCTGGTTCCAACCCCCATGGGACAGCTTCTGCACTGCTTACACACATCTGGCTTTTTTTTTGCAGTAATTTCTAACAGAGATACGAGTGGCACCGAATGTGGTTGTAGGTCCTGATATCTTTGTTAACAGGTAAGGTACAGGGAGGATGCTGGCAGAGCAATGCAAGCACCTCTCTGGATGCAAAGGGGGCTGTTCTGACTTGCACTGCGCATCCTCCTCCTGACATGGTGCCATGGCAGTAGGTACCTTTACCTCTGCACAATAAAGATAAGCAGCCTCCCGTTTTTAGATGATATTTTAGATAGCAGTTTCTTTGCTGCCATCACATGAAGGCGCCAGCGTAAGGGGAAGCTGGTTCTGGGTGAAGACTGCAGGGACTGAGGGCTGCAGCACTCGCTGTGCAGCATGCCCTCGTTTCCGCTGCGCAGCTGGCAGTGCCCCGCAGGCGCGTGGACTGATGCGCTGCTGTACCACCACCTTCTCCCACACGCTGTGCCTGGTAGCCTGGTTTTATTTGCTCAGGTCAGGCTCTTGGCATAGTTGCAGCACAGTGTGTGTGTGCGCAGGGCTGGGGGCAGCAGCATCGCTGCATGCTGCTAGCGTGGAAACAACCAACCGGGAAAGCATGACCCTTTTCTGTCCAGGGAGTTGCAAAGCTGGGGTGGAATTAGTTCAGCAGTAAGTGGTTATCAGAGTCCTCAAAGGGGGTCATTGCACTGGGAAAGCCACCTTTTCCTGCTATGTCGCAGCACACCCAAATTGCTGTGTTCTTGCTCTCCCCTTCCCCAGCCATCCCTGTTTTCTAGCAGTAAGACTGCTGAGCGGGGTAGGGGTCTCCATGTCTCTCTGCCTTCAGACTTGTCCAGGGAGGCTAGCCAGAGCACCTGCAGCGTCTTCCATTGATCCTCTGTTCTTTGCCCAGTCCTACAGCGGCTCTCAGGGGATCTGGGGTCAGGCGCAGTCGAGAGGAGTGTGCCAACAGTTGTACCTGTCCCCCACTCAGCGCACAGCTACAATCACCTCGCCTTGGTGCAGGTAGTGGAGAGGTTCATAACACCATAAATGTGTTTGTCTGGGGCCCCAGACAAGGAAACTAGCCCTGCTCCTCGCTGGGGAAAAATCTGTTGCTGCATAAATACCGTTGTACTGGCTGACCAAAAAAAAACCACTCGAGAACTTAAATGGTAAGAACACTGCATCTTTAAAAATTCCCCAAAGACTTCTAAAATCATGTCTTCTTTCCCCTCTTCCTCTGTAAACAGAGGCACAGTCTCAGCTTAATCACTACCAGGCAACAGGGAAAAATCTTTAATTACTTGATAGCAGAACTGCACAAGACTTCTAAGTATGAACAGCCTTCCCCACCCCTGGCACAACTATTCTGGCATGGCCCCTTAAGGACTGCTGCATGGACAACTTGTCCTGTCTGAATTGCAGGCATGTAAAAATAAATATTTCAAGGTCAAATACTTAAGGAAGAAAAAAAAAGTGTATTTATTTAGCACAGCCTAAATTGACACATTTTTTGTAACATTTAAAAAACAATCGAGGTTTTTTTGCATGCTTTGCAAGCTTTAGAAGGCTGTGACCCTCGGTTGGATAAACACTGCTTGATAGAAGGGGAGCATTAACTCACAGGTGCCCATAGAAAACAGCCTCCAAGCCAGCCCCTGCTGGGAAGACCCGAACGCCATGCCCAGGCAGTGCCGTGCGGAGCTGGTCTCTGTCACCACACAGATGACAGGCGCAGCTCTCTCCAGGCGTTAACAGCCTGCGATGGCCAGGTCAGGTTGCAGCCAGAGACCGGACGGACAAACTGAACAGGCTTTTACAAACACTTGCAACACGCTGTTTTGCTGATACCTTTGCTTTTGCCCGAGAAGATACACCAACACCCCGACACCTCCAGCAGCGAGCACCACACTGTTTCCATCTGACAGCCTGTCCCTGCACTGTAGCTCCTCCAGCTCAAACACAGCCCAGAGCCCTCCTGGAGCCCTGCTGCCCAGCTCACCCGTGTGGCACAGCTTCACACCACCCCCGCCCAGCAGCAGCAGCCTGAGGAAGAAAAAAGCCAACCAGCAACACGAGTTGTTTGCAGGAACAACTTTTTTTTTTAATAAAGTGTACAAAGTAGTAAAACTCATTACACGAGGTTCTGTGACAGCTGTTACAGAGATGATTTGGGCTCCTCCATGGGCCTCGTGGTGAAACGCCGATGAGCGTTGGGTGGAGATGAAGGACATGAACACGACGCAGACCCACCTGCCCCTACCAGCTCCCGTGAACGTGCCCTCCCCATCCCACACCGCACCTCCAGCCGGCCCCCGCCACTTCGCCTGTCTGGCCGGTTCGCCCATGCCGGGTTGTTCCCGCTGTCCCACACCACAGCATCCCACACACGTTCAACACGAATAACACACTGAACCGAGCGACCTGTCTGAGCGGCATGCATACAGAAAGGAAGAGTAAAAACACAACCCGACTGAACCCACAGCAACAACAACAGAATTTTAAGGCTATGCATAAAACAAAATGAAGCAGTATCTTTAAAGCTAGGTAGCAAGTAGCATTTGTGAAACATAAGGCTTGAGGCTTATTGATTCTTCAGAACAGGTTTATTTGCTTTTCCTTCTTAAACACCAATGTACCATTTTTCTTCCTTCGCTTGAACAGGCATTTTGTTTCCTTCTCGGCAGGGACATTTAACTCAGAGAGGTTATGTTGGAACGGCCTCCCGGGGGCGCGACGATGCGCTTGCTCGCTGAGCGAACGCCTTCATCAATCTGGGTACCTGGGAGAGGACAAGAAAGCACAAAGGGAAGGGGGAAAGCTAAGTTAAGAGCATTTTCTTCACAGGACTGAGCAGTCAGGCAGCCTGGGGTCTCGCCAAAGAGCCTCCCAAGGCTGTCTATAGCAACCTGCTCCCTCTCCAGCTCCAGTAATGACCCTGAGAGCAGCAGTGGTTTGAACATCTCTGTAAATGCTCCTCCGTGAACAGACCCACGCAGCAAGAGCAGGGTCTGATGCTGTGCTGGCACCTCCATGGCCACAGTCTGCCTTGTTTCTACTGCAAGGTGCAGCAGGCTGGAGGGCCAGCTCTGGCCATGTCCTTTAAGGGACACACAGGGTCTCGCCCTGCCATGCTCCACTCTTGTGCTCAGCTTGCCCCACGCCATCTCCCAGCTGCTCCCCAGCCCAGGACAGGGGGCTGGGACAGCGCGGCCGGTGGTTCTACGCTCTCCCAGCCCAGCCACCGCATGCGTTCACCTGACAGGCTGAATCCAGACTGATGGAGGTTCCTGACGGGGGGTGTCTGCCGTGTGGGGGACCCCCTGGTTGACCCTGCAGGGGTGCCCCCCTTGGGGGTGGTGGTCAGGTCAAACACAGGTCCATCATACATGCCCCGGGGCACAGCATGCATCTCTGCCATCTGTCACCAGAGAGAAGAGGACAGTGACACTTCTCTGCTCCCAGGGAGCATCCTGCCATGGCAGCATCCTGCTCCAGAGATCCTTGGCTCCCCAGTCCCACTGCAATTCACACTGCCAGCCCTGTGCCCCTCCATCCTCCCTGCAGTGCTGAGGCCTGGCACAGCCCCACCCTGTGTGACGGCCTCCCTTCACTCCCACCCTGCAAAGTGCGCAGAGCCCAGTGCAGGCAATCCCTCAGCACGGGTTTATGCTACATGGATGAGGAAGGAGAAGGCCATTTTGCCCAGTCTGTTTTTAACTCAGCACTTCCCTCCAGACTCCTGCTGCAGCAGGACAGCAACAAGGGCAGGCATCACCCACTGTTGACCCAGCCGAGCATCTGCCTCCCGTGGTGGCACACCATCAACACCAACGTCTAAGCTCTCTACCCAAGCCTTAACTATCCCAACTGTAGGTTCAAAATACACCAGTTCGCAGCACTGCTTCCAGGGTCCAGTGAGAACAGCAGAGGAAAACCAATCGGTTATTAGGGAGAAGGGCAATTTGGGCTAACGGTGTCCCAACTCTTTCTCCTGGCATCTCTGTCTCCTCACCTTCCTCCTGGCTTTGATGCGCTTGTAGACATAGTCAGGGAAAGGACTGCTGGGCAGGAAGCGTCCAGTCCCCTGGGTCACATGCAGGTTGCCATCCTCCAGCATGATCTTCCCCTGGCATATGACAACCAGCGGGGCCCCGCGTAGCTCCATCCCTTCAAAGATGTTGTATTCAGCCGCCTGCAGCAACGAGGGGATGATGATCAGGAGGGACATGAGCACTGCCTGCCCGCTCAGGGCTGTTTAGTCCCCATACCTCACGGCTTATGTCACCAGTGCAGGGAAAGGACACCTCTAACAGCCTTGCCTGCCCTTTAGTTCACTAGTCCATCACACTAAGAACACACCAGAGCTCCCAACATGAACCAGGACCTGCTGCTTCGGAGCTCAGTGTGAGCAAGGACTCCAACAACAGAGGAAGGCAGGACCTAGGCTTGAGGTAAGGCATGAACAAAGCACGCTGGCAAAACCAGGAAAAAAATGGTACCTGGAAGAGGAACCCAGATAAGGAGAAATGCGTGTCCTTACACCTGCGTGGGCCAGGCTCGGAAGAAGAGCAACACAGCAGGGTGAGAAAAGCCCCGTGTGCAGGGCCCAGGGCTCACAGACATCCTACCCCACAGTCACAGCTGGCATCGTCCAGAGCCTGGACTCAGTCCCTCCTCCTCAGAGCCCAGCATGGCAGGGCAGCACCAAGCTACCAGCAGCCAGGCAGCCTTTATACAGTGCTACTCGCACCCCACCCTCCAGCATTCCCACAGACGAGCAGAGGGCTTACAGATTGATGGGTTTTTGCCGTGACGATCTTCACTGCATCAGGATCCCATATAACCAGATCGCTGTCGGAGCCCACTGCTATTCTCCCTTTCCGTGGGTACAGGTTGAAGATTTTTGCAGCATTAGTGCTCGTCACAGCCACAAACTGGTTTTCATCCATCTTTCCTGTGGCCTGCTCAGACACAAAGAGACCTAAGTGCTCTTTTGGGGAAAGGGAGAGTAAGAGCCCCAGGAAGCACCAGACTCATTCCCACACAAGCCACTGGCTGGCTGGGCCCAGACCGCTGCGGCTGACCTTACTATTGGCGCCAGACAGACTGAAAACTGGGGGAATAGTCACAGCTCCTGGCTGTTCACCCTGAACCTGCAACAGCTGCCTCTCCTGCTCTGGCTTGTTTTGACTCTCAAAGCCAGCGAAGAGACAGGCAGCTGGGTGCCCAGCTCTGCAGAGGCGAGAACACGGGTATCTGAGGTGCCCATCAACCCTGCCAACTCTGCCCTCTCCCCAGCGTGACTCTTACCACTGCCTTGTCCCAGATGACAGACATTCGTTCCTCTATGCCGTTGGTCCCTTCTGGGATCGCCGTGAAGTTGTCTTTTCCAATTGCTTTCTGTGCGGTGCTGAATGTACAGTGGGCGCTTCCCGAAACCTGCAGGTCACCACTGAGGGGTGGTGGTAACAAAAGCATCATCAGCCATTTCGCAGTCAGACAATAGCAGGGACATGAGGGACATGGATCTCCTCGGGGCACGGGCAGCCCCTGGCTCAGCTCTGTTTTACTCTGCACCCTCGTTTCTACAGCCTCTCAGTCTGAAGACTTCCACCCAACCTGGCCCCTGCGGTGGCCACGTCACCTGGGGGCACAGCGGCAACAGAGCTCTGCCACGCCACGCTGCCCGCCTGGGGCACGAACAGCATTCTGCACACAAGAGGAGTCAACAGCTCAGCTCCAGAGGAAAACACCCTGGGGAACAGGGTGGCCTTTGTGTCAAGCCAAAAGATGTCCTTCCATACGAGACTCCAACATTTACACTAACACAAAGGGAAAAGACATCTCAGGTCTGCTTGGGAGAGAAGCCTTTCTGCCACATGGGGAGAAAGAGGCCTCTCCACCCGAAGACTGTCCCCCACAGCCAGCCCTTTCGTTGTGTACTGCCAGCTCCTGTACCCCAAGGGGGAAGCGCAGCCCTCCCCTGCCCCACGGAAGGCCTGCTGCGGGCAGGCATCACCCCTGTCTGTGGGAGAGGGGATGCGGCTGCAGGAGCGGGCTTACGTGGGGCTGAGCCTGTGCGCTGCCCACTGCTTGCACTGCCAACCTTCCCCAGTGAGGAGAGCACCTCAGCCTGGCTCCAGGGTTCCGGCCTGAGACATTTCATCTGGCAGGAGCTCACCAAAGGCTCCTCTCAGTCCCACGTGGACACTCGCAGCATGACCTGCAGCAGGAGAAGCAGCCAGCAGCGCAGACCAAGAAGGTGTGCTTGCAAGTGCAGGCTGGCCCACACTACAGCTCTGGCCCAAGCAACAGCATCTCTGCCACATCGCGGCCACGAAAGCAAACGCCCCCCATGGCCACACGTAAACCTGACAGTGGGACGAAGACAGTCAGGACTCCCCAGAAGCAGCTCTCTCCAGGAGACTCGGAAAAGCTTCACTGCAGTGCTCTACAGTGGCTGCTGCCCAATGCTGTTATCCAAACCCCTCTGCCCAGAAAGGGTCACTGGTCAGATGAGATGTCCTGACCCATCCTGTTCCTGACAACAATGGCAGAGGGCAGGAATTGGCAGAGCCAGCGAGCTGCTGACAGGCAGGGCAGGGCGAGGAGCTGCCACAGCTCCCTGGAAGTCACCCAGTTGCTGCTGGGTCCTTGCAGAGCAGAGGACAGGCAGCAGTTGGAAAGTCATTGCTGCCAGGCAAAAGGAAGCAGACCAACACAGGCCAGCTCCCAGCACTGCCCGCATGAGGCAAGTGGCCTTGAGCACCTGGCTCCCAGACCGGCTGCGTCTGAACCCAGGATGGCGCGGACACAACGGCTCTGCTTGGGGCTGTGAATCAGCCCTAATCCACTGGTAATCTCCATCTTCCTCTGATAATTTCTGCCATATGTCTGACTGACTGCATAGCCAGAGACCCAGGCTGATGACACAACATGCTTCCTAATCTCCACCAGATTTGTCCCAGTGGAAGAAAACAAGCCGTCCAGCCCAGCTGGAGTCTCGCAGCCTCTCCTCCTGCTGACACAGAAAACGGTGAGAGAAAGGTGTCAGGACAGATGCCTGTGGGCTGCAGGGACTCAGAAATGCTCTTGCCTCTCCTTTGAGGTCTGGGGTAAAATTGAATTGGAAGGGTAGGATCAGAGAGCCAGTTCAGGAGCTGGGCTCACTTTCCCTGCAGTCCCTACGACCTGTACCTATTTCATACATCCAGACTGAGCAGAGGCACATCTTGCTCGTTGACCACAGCAAAATCCAGAGTGAGCTGCATATTCAGACCCCAAATGCACCAGCATCTCTCTTAAGCCAGCCATGGCATCTCCACCCTGGCACAACCCAGGTTTATCCCAACGTGACCCTCTGCTGAGACACCTCTTACTGACCAGTCATCCCTTGCTCATCTAGTCAGAGATGTTTCCAGCATTACCTCAAAGGTCATTTCCATTTACAACCCCATCAGTGTCAGTCGTTCCTGGCTAACACAGATCAACCACGCACACACAGTTCAGTGTGCAAACACAGGGTAAGAGGGGCATGCGATTCACACGTGGCGTGTGGACAGGGCCAGCAATGAGCTCTGCATCCCTAGCTGCTGCGCATGCCTTGCCAGTGAGAGGATGGAGTATAGCTGTGAAAGGTCAAAGCAAATTGCTGAAGTGCTTTTATTGTTTGCTCTCTATTTTCAACAAATCCCTTCCCCACCCCCTTGCCTTCAGGGTGAAAAAATGACCTACCATCCCTGTCAGATGCTGCCCTTAAAGGCCTCGTGCACTCTGCAGGCTGTACTACTGCTAACCTGTACAGGCATGAGAAAACGTCTGCTTTGTATTCGACTGGTGGATCCCTGCCGTGACACCTGTAACCCCTCCACCTTCTCCTGCACCATCGCAACCCAGGCAACCATTCCCTACCCTGTACGTGCAGAAGGGCTTCTGCAGCTTGGTGAATGCTTTCGTTGACAATTCTGTGTTAGCTGGTCCTCATTTCTTTGCCTTCTTCAGGGCATTTAAAATGACTACTTGCCCTCACAGGGGCATTACTGATGTTAAGCTTATGGTGCCTCCCCTGTCCTCCCTCCACTCTCAGGGATAAGCCACCATTGCTCTGAGTCAGTCATTTCGTCAGTCAGCTCATTAAATACCTACAGTGAAGTGGTTCAGGTTGGACTAATGTCTATGCTGCCCAGGTACTCCCTAATCTCTTCCTTCCCTATTTGAGGCCAGAGTCTGCTTCTTCCCGCTAGCAGCATCACCTAGCAGAGCTGTCACTCACCTGGCCAGGAGGGAGTTGATGTAGTCAGGGGTTGTTGGGTCTGGGCTCAGAGGTGGAGAGACCACAAATGCCGCAGCCTTGGCCCAGTTCTTGCTCCAGTAGTGTGTCCCGTCGGTCCCAAGACTGGCCGTGATTGGCTCACCAAACACCACATTGCCTGGAAAGGGGGACAGAAAGGACACTATTTTGGTGGAGCCTGGAGGCATTCTCTGTTCCACAGCACTACCAACAGCCTGCCGTGCCCAGAGGACACCCAGACCCACGCTGGGCTGTCCCACGCTGCCTTGGACCTCAGGTGCTGGGGCAGGCAGGAGGGACAGCAAGGCCCACATCGGTGCCAGGGGCAAGCCCTGCCCGCCATCACCATAGGGCCCTCCCACGCAAGGGCACAGATCCTGCTGGTGCAGCAAGCCTGGTGGGAGCATGGCGCGGGAAGGCATGGCCGCAGAGCTGTGTTCCCCAGAAGACACCACGGAGAGATGAACGATGCTGGCAACCTGGCCTCCTGCCCCGGCAGATGGCTGCTTCCCAGCCTGTCCTCCCGGGAAGCGAGGCCCCCGGTCCCCTCCTGCAAGCACTGGTGTCCCCCTGCTGTAGTGGGGGGCATTTCATCCCGCTGACTTTCAGCCCAAGAGTGACAGCCACGTCTCAGAGCTGACCAGCAGCGCAGGCATACCTGGCAGGGGTCAGGCAATTTGATAAGAAATGACAGCCTGCAACAGGGCAGGCAGACCACAACGCAGCCTGACACTGAACCCACGCCAGGCTGACAACCAAGCCCCTCACAATGTCCTTCATCGTCATCTCCTGTGCATTCTTCCTCCTTTATCCCTCGTAAATATTTACCATGTGCCACCAAAGAGCTGGCAGGCTCGTCCCCCTCTCCTGTTCCTCACTCACCTTCTGGTGCCTGACTCCAGGGACAGGCCAGGGGAGAGGACAGCAGCTGGTGACCAAGGGCTTTTTGCGGAACAGGGCTTGTCATGCTGATAAACTAGGATGGGGACTGAGAAATTGTGCTTTTCTTTCCAAACACGCTCTACAGCCTGGGAGAGTGCTTCTGGGAGACACTCATTGTTACGTCCCACAGTTACCAACTCCACCAAGACCCTCTCTACAAATGCATTTTCTACATTCCCCCCACCCCTCACCACTGTTTTATAGAGGCTCACTCTGTGGACGTGCACACGTGCGTGTGGGGAGTTCCTGTGCTCCACCACCAGTGACAAATGGAGCTCCCCAGCCACCTGAAAAGGCACCCAGCCACCCCCAAGGGGCCAGCATTTCAAAGGGAGGCCAGGGCTATATGCAGCAGCTCAAACCACTTGCACATGGATCGGACAATCAGAGCGCCCTTCACAGCCACAGACAAACTCTGGTGTTTAAAGCACTGCTCCTACTGTGACCCACATGTTGATGTTACCTGATGTGACAACAGGAGGTGGCTCCATGTGGCTTGGTGCAGTGTCCCTGTGCCCTTCACAAGTCAGGGAAATCCCTGAACTAACTGCTTTCCAACAGAAGGGGAAGCACTGGACTGCACTCAAGGCACAGTGGTGGTCTTGGCAAAACAACCATGAGGACGCGGGGACCACTGAATCCAGCTGTCCAGGATCCCAGTGACAACAGCAAGGCTGTGTGCAGCAGCAGCTGCCACTCACCTTTTTTTCTGGCTTGCGAGATGAGGTCAGCAGCGCTTTTGCTCATCACTTTAGTCACATAGAGAGGACAGTTGGTCTGGCTGGCAATAGTGACGGCCCGGAAGACAGCTTCTGCTTCCAGCTGGAAGAGAGAACGCCGCACGGCTGCAGAGGAGCACTGAGTGGGCAGGGAAGAGCCCCTGCTCCTCTTGGCACACCATGGATTGCTGCTGACACCCTGTGCCCTTGGCTCTTACCCTTGACTCCCCGAGGGCAGGTTAATCAGGGAGACCTGACGGGGAAGGTTCAGTCTCCCTAGGGCCCGGCCCAACCCGCAGGCTACAGCCACACAATGCTCAGCAGGGGAGCGCTGCCTGGACCGGGCTCAGGGGCCAGCGCAGAGCTGCATCTGCTGTTTTTTCCACTGCCTGGTTCCAGCTCTCCCGACAGCTGGAGAAGCCCAGGGCCTGCTGCCCGCGCCTGACAGCACAGCTCACAGGCTGAAGCCAGAGAACGAAAGGGTCTGCCCCTTCAGACCACTCACTGCTCCAGGCTCTCCGACGGCTGCGTTTGGTTTAACCAAATGTCCCCCTGCCTGTGGCTGGGGTGCAACGAGTTATGCGCCGGCAGGCTGTTCACATCAGGGTCTGGCTGTCCTGCGATGCAGCTGCTGCTCGTCCCAGCCTGCTGACACCCGTCCCATGTTTCACTGTCCTGCTGTTAGCAGAGAGTGGATTTCCATCATGAGGGATATCTTTGGACTATTACATCAGCCCGTGCTCAGCCTGAGCTCAACCCCAGAGTTTCTCCAAGTGTTTGCTCTACAGTTTGGCTTCAAGCTTCGGCATGAGAAAGTTCAAAACAGAAGCCTTAAAAAGACAATGTACCAATCAGCTAGCTCCCGGGGGAGGCCGGGACTGCCAGCTGCAGGGAACGCAGTAACTGCCTGCGGGCCAGGCAGCTGGCCGTGCAAGCTTAACTCTCCCAGTAGCAGGAGAAGCAGACCACTGCACCCAGACACACGTGCACCCGCACACCTCTCGTACTTCTGCAGGCCTAACTGCTGCACAGGAGGAGGTTTCTCTCTTCTGCTTAAAGACTCTTTAAACAGAAATTTAAACAAGAAAATATTTTTATCAGCGCACTTATGGACTTCAGTAGTTGACGGGGTTTAACATGTGGACAGGAGCAAACAGAGCCATCACTGAATACCCTTCACAAAAGGTTACAATCTGGAGCAGCACCATCCTGCCCTACCAAATCACCACCATCATAGAAGAGCATGTCTTTAACACCCACTGAGGTCCCTCCGGGACAGAGCAGACCCATGGAGCTAAGGACCACCCTCCCAATGCTTTGCCATCAATCTGCAGGCTTTATGGGAGATAGCAGGGTCATTTGTGCACTACCTAACGTTTTCCCAGGTAGAGGATGTTCTGGAAGGACGCTGTTTATTTTCAAAGGCAATGAGATCTGGATTTAGCTGAACAGACGGTATCTAGAGCCTTCTTGCACTGCTCTCAGTTGCCTTATGCTTTACTGGCATTTCAAGATGAAACACTCGACAATGTTTTACCGGCTTTGGATGAGAAGAACCGCAGTGCTGTCTTATGATAATAGGACAGTTCTCAAATCCTGGCACAACCACAGCATCCCGTAATCGTGGGTTTGCTTGCCAACTAGTGGCAACGGGTCTAGAGCCATAAAAATAAATGGCAGTTTACACACAGAGGGACTCTGATCCACTGTATTTGACATTGAGTCTCTTCCCTGTACAGGAAAATGTTTTATAGTCTCATACTTCAAAGAGAATAAGCACTGTATTACACTAGGCTATATACGTTGTTACCAGCCATAATACAGTCAACTTCTTACACTTCCAATTTAAGCCAACTGATTTTACTTCCAGCAGACCCTGAAGTACAAATCTGTCCCTGTGCTCCCCTGCTCTGCTTTGCTATTGTACCAAATTCCTACTGTTTTCTTCTTTCACGTGCTGTGGAAAGTTAAAAGCACCTCTCAGCAGGGAGCTATCTCAAGAAAACCTATCTAAAATTAGACTCAACTCAGATTAATGGACCAAACAGAAAAATACCCTGTGAGCTAAAATTAGAAGTAATCTAATTAGTGTCTTGACAATGATTTGTAACCAGGAAATTCCCCCTCTCCTTCCCTCCCACTCCTTCCACCAATGGCTTTGTCCGTCTGATTTTAAAATGCACTTTAGACCCTAAGCAGAGATTAAGCAAGAAGAGGCTGGAATCTGTCTGCACTCAGACAGACATGAACAGTGAATTTTCAGAGGAACTAAAACTCACCATTTGATTCTTCTCAGGCCTCTTACACCCATGGAGTCACCTATACAAGACAAACGCCCCCAAACCAGCCCCAAATGTTGCTACAGCCATACAGATCTTTTTGTTGATTGATTAATCTCTGGGAGACTCAGAAGTCCTTGTCTCTGCTAGGAGACTTGAGCAAAACTGTCACAAACGCGCACCTCGCCCTTTCCTTAGCTGATGATGAACAAGACAGTATTGCCTGTAAAAATGGATACCTATAGATTCATGCATACACACACACCCCCCTACCTCCCCTCCCTCACTACCCCCCAATGCTTGCTTGGCCCCACTAAATATGCTAAGCCCTACTGTGACTTGTGGGGAAAGCTGTTCAGTGCAGCAAGGCTGGTACCATCCTTTGCATCTTACCTCCTCAGGTCTGCTCAGCACATGGCCCTCGGGACCAGTTATTCCCATCTCCAACATCCTGGTTTGTTCCTAGGACATCAAAAGGACAGAAGGACCTTACAAGACTGTGAAACTATCAACCACACAGAAAAGCAGATCCCTCCTGTGTTGAGCCCTTCCCTCGGGACTGCTACCACCCTGTGTCCTGTGGGACCACTGTGCACAGTGAGAGGCTGCTAAACCCTCAAGGGGTTTCAGGGAGAAAGAGGGAGGATGGGGAAACGGAGTGCTTGGAGGGAGCATGGACACCGACTGAAACCTCTTCGATGAAACAAGCACAGTGTGGAGGAAAAAAGGGTACAAAACTCCCCAACTGCATGAACAGCACTTGATGTTTACAGTGCCCTTCCAAGGCCCTTCCTGGCTCCCCTTCTGAAAAGCAAGTAGTTCGAGTAGAATCTATTGAGAAAACAATCATTAAATCCAATAAAAAAATTCTCCTCCTAAGGTTACTCCTGGGTCCCCAGTGCTGTTCAATCATTTGGATATCGGCAAGTGCTAAATCCTGTCCTATATCAACTTCTATAGTAGCTGGTGGTGTGAGGTGTTGGTTCCTGTATTAACAGTATCCCAAGTATTTTGCCATTATAAATAAGGACCACGGATAATTGCATGTGTGTGTGTGCTGCATGTGCTGGCCTGCCTTGGAGATTTCTCTCGTATTCCCTTGTTTCAAACATCGCCCTTTGACAGAGGTCAAAGTAAACATGCAGAGGGACTTCACGGTCTGCTCTGACCAAGGCACTCGGGGATCTTTCTGACCTTCACACCTTTATCCACGTGCTGTCACTGCCTGTGGCAATGCACGTTTGCTCCTACCCAGCATCTGCCCTTGACTTGCCAAAACCACGTGCAGTTGCACAACAGGCAACACTTCTCCAAGAGGTGTTGGGGAGCATGAAATGGATACACAGCAGCAGTAATAGTAAGCCTGTAAGCAAGTAAGCAAGCAGTTTTATGCACTTTTTCTTGTGTCTTGTAGAGTACTGAACATATTATGGGCATTAAATAATGCCACCAATCTGCGTCAGGACTGTGTAACTCCAGCAACGATAACAGATGTGTTCACAGCTGTTGGAGGAGTGTATCAAAGGATGAGGCTGCACAGCAGGTAAGTGCTGCGTGTTACCTCCTCTGACATCTTCTCTGCCACAGTGAAAGTGCCAAGCAATAACTTGACAATACTCTTCTCACGTCTTGCTCTTCACCCACCACAAAGCACTCTCCCACCAGCTACAGCACGTCAGAGTCTGAAGTGTGGAGCTCCGCTCACGTCCTATTTCTGTTCAGGCCACGCAGCACATCTCTTCCCCTGCAACCTCCTCTCCTATGTTGACCAAACTCTGGAGAAACACACAGTTGCCAGGACCACCGAAAGTAAAATGGACTGAAATGGGGAATGGAGAGGACAAATCCTCTCCCTTCTTCCTGGGAACCACCACCAGCAGATGACCACAAGCATCACGTCTCTGTGCTAACAACACGCTGAGCCTCACACCAGCCTGTGATGTTTCAATCAGTCCTGACAGAAGGAAGCAATAGTTTTGGGGCATTTTGTGGTTAGGCTGGTGCTGAAGCAAAGATAAACTCTAGCCAAGACAATTCCTCTGACCACTCTCTGTTTTCATGTGGAAGAGCCATCCAATTGTGCACTGCAGCTCTAAAAAGTCCAAAGAAAAACTGATTCTTGTAGTCTGAGAGGATGTTTGAAGAATGACCTCTTTGTTCACACTCCTTCAGCTCCCAAGAATAAGAGAGACAGGAAAAAACAAGCAGTTGCAGAGCATAACTGAGCAATGTCTTCTCTGTCTTAATGAAAATCAAAACATTTGGACTTTCTCGCATCCAGCATCAATTACAACACAGCAGGCCAATACAGCCTACCCACTTGAACACCAAACCACATCCCTCATAACAATTCCCTTTCAAATCCAGCTCCATTAGCCGGCTGCTTGCTTACAGCAGGGAGAAAATCCCTCTCTTGCTGTGGCACTTTTCAATACGCTTTAACTCTCTTAGCTGATTATGTGCAAGGCAAAGGTCTCCGCCTCTCCACGCCGAAAACGAGCTGCGGTTGGAATGAACATACCGTACCTGATGGCCTACTCTCTTCCATTTAGATAATTGCTAATTCACTATTTCAGATTCGCTTATGCACCACATATTCACAGCAGAAAATCTTGGTAAATTTGATATTGCTGCTGAGCAGCAAAGAGATCACCTTTCAAAAGACATCCATGCAGCTTTAGAGTGATTTTGCTAATGCCCCACACCGAATCTGCCTGGGGTGGATTTTCAGTCCCCGCATACCAGAAGAGTAGTTAGTTACCTGTGCAATTATATCCCCATTTTCAGCATGAACTTGAGCTATGGCACCCAGCTCTGCCAGGCAGCTGAATATTTCATACAGCTAAAAGAGAGACAAGAAAAAATGATTACCGAGCAGACAGACTCCCTGGCGTGTGCACGGCCTCGGCACCCCGCATGGCCCTTCAGCCGAAGGCGCTGGCAGCGGCAGGGCCTGGTGTGGGTGCGCCGGGACCAGTTCTGGCCCTGCCGGGTGGTGCTCTCCGAAGGCCGGGGCCACCGGCGGATGCTCTCAGTGATCTCCATGCCAGACCTCTGCCTCCACCTGCAGCGCGGGAGCCCGGCCGGCCCGTGGCT